AGACAGAACCTCAAGCTGTCACCCTGGGTAGAGTGCTGTGGCATCACAGCTCACAGCAACCTCCAATTCCTGGGCTCAAGTGATTCTCCTGCCTCCACCTCCCAAGTAGCTGGGATTACAGGTGCCCACTACGACACCTGGTTATTTTTTGGTTGTAGCCATCATTGTTATTTGGCGGCTCGGGCTGGATTTGAACCCGCCAGCTCAAGTGTATGTGGCTGGAGCCTTAGCCTCTTGAGCCACAGGCGCTGAGCCTGAAGACACTCTGATTTTAAAGATAAAATGTAAAAACATGGATACAATGGGTTCAACCTAATATGGTTGCTGTGAAGATTTTTTTTTTTTAAATCCACTAAAGCTGCCTAATAGTGCTCTTGATAATAATGGTCATAATAATAATTATATTGTTAGTAAAAAATATTTAAAAAAAATAAAGGCAGTGATCCTCAACTTTCTTAGGTTATAATATTCAACATTTAACAACATGAAAGATTAAAGTGAGGCTGCATCCTGTACCAAGATCTAAGTAAAAAAATTTTTACCAATAGGAAATTTAAGCAAAAGGGCAAGTATTTCTGCCTTAGGCAGACTTGAATTTGAAGCAGATGGATCCAGTGAAAGTCTTTCTTGGGGCGGCTTCTGTTGTTCAGTGAGTAGGGCGCTGGCCCCATATACCAAGAGTGGTGGGTTCAATCCCGAGCCTGACCAAACTGCAACAAAAAATAGCCAGGCATATGGCAGGTGCCTGTGGTCCCAACTACTTGGGAGGTTGAGGCAGGAGGATCACCTTAGCCCAAGATCTGGAGGTTGCTGTGAGCTGTGACGCCACAGCACTCTACCAAGGGTGACAAAGTGAGACTCTGTCTCTTAAAAAAAAAAGAAGAAAAAGAAAAAGAAACTCTTTCGTGAAGGAGAAAGGCAGCAAGAATCAAAATGCTGTATCAAGTTCCATGTATTTAGAAGAGGGTACCGAAAAAGATCAAGAAGGCAACTATAGGCTGGTACAGTAACTCTCACCTACTAGCACTCTGGGAGGCTGAGGCAGGTGGATTGCATGAACGCACAACTTTGAGACCTGAGCAAAAGCAAGATCCCATCTCTACTAAAAATAGAAAAACTGAGGCAAGAGGATCATGTGAGCCTAAGAGTTAGAGGTTACTGTGAGCTATGATGCCACAACACTCTACCCAGGGGGACAGCTTGAGACTCTGTCTCCAAAAAAAAAAAAGGCTCAGTGCCCGTGGTTCAGTGGTTAGGGCACC